CCGTAGGAGCGTTTGATGAAACGCAAAAAAAGAGGTGATACTGTAGTACTGGTAAGGCAAATGTGCATTCAATCAGCGCTCGAGTAGTCATCTCTTCTTCAGCTGGGTTGATCCTCTTTCTTCTCTTTGTTGAAAAGAAGACCACTGCACTTGATTCACGCTTTAAAGCGAGTGCGTTCGTCACACGCTTAACAGCCGCGTCCTGGCCAACACTTCCGAGTTCGAGGGGATGTTCGTGGATCATGTGCTTGCGAATACTTGCACTACTTCCGGACTTGTACTGAAACGTAATTTTGCACTTGAGACGGTAGGCTAATTCTGCATTCGTTGTTTTCCACGCCGTTTGGCCTGCTGGCGTCTTGGTGCTGGGCGCTACAAGACGAACGAATGACCAGTATTCTTGCTTATGAACACGTGGCATCTTGAACAGTGGAAGTGGAGGGGTGACGATGGTGGAGGTGTGTCGTCTTCAGTGGTGACTGGTTGAGCAAGCTGTAGCCCCGGTCAATTTGCTGTAGAGTCTAGTAGACAGAGGCTCTGGTCCAAAGCAGATTTCAAATCCTCTGTTACGTCTCGAAAACGTTGACCTTACGTCTAGTCTTTTTTTGGATTTTAAGTTTACGTTTTCTTACGTCCCCGTCTCTAGCTCCGTGTCGGCCAAAGCGAAGCCCCGGCGGTAGCTCCGATGATCGCTGGACTTTTGTGAACTACATTCACCCTAACATGCGCATGCGTAAGACAAACGATGTCGGTGTCTTATGATCGCCTGCTGGTATCGGTGAGTACGTGTTTGCTCGGTGAGAGGGCAAGGTTATGAACGGCCATTGGTACGAAGTCTCCCATGGCGCGCAGCACCGCGGGTAGAAACTGGGCAGCGCTCAGACCGGACGCGGCTTCGGGCAGCAGCAGGTCGCGAAGGTGTGTAACGTCCAAGGGGCAGATCTCAAAACGGTACCCACGTCCATCGCCGCGGTCGTGGGGGCTTAAGACGTTTTTCCAGGGCGGGTTTAAGGAGCTATCGTGTGGTAAGGTTAGAGTATCAGATGGGGCAGGAGCTGCAATGGGCTTGGATCTTTTTGGCGATCGCTTAGCTGAACGGGGTGTATAAAGAAGGAGGGGTGCTAAGAGTAATCTGGTTTGTGCCGGCATTGGGGTGCTGTGAAAAGTGGTAAGATCATATCACTCGCGTCGTGAGTGCGCTGGTCCAACGCCGATGGGCGCGGGGTGAGCGGCATGCTGAGCACGGTCGCGCCTGGAGTGACTTAGAAGGTGTACGACAATGGCCTATTGGGCTAATGGCCAGTGCCGACGAGCTCGCAATGTAAGGGTTCCGGATGACGTGAGGTGCACCAGCAGGGGATAGCTTGCAGCAGTGTTGGTTAAACCACTGGTGGTATACTCCATTAACACCAATCACCATGGTTGTCCGTTTTTTTTCTGGAGTTTTGGTGGCGTTACTATGGTTATTTGGTGTTATTACTGGCAATTAGTATGGTGTACGCATTGTGTATGTAATGTTGCTACACGAAAAAAAACTCAAGCTGGGTACGCTCAAGATGCGACCAAGCTCCACCACACGAAGTTAGCGGCGGTGTGGTGGCTACGGGGGCAGCTGTGGTCGACCAAGTGGACGAGTTCATGGCACTGGATTCAGAACTTCCTATGCTACCTGTTGTACTTAAGAATGATGACGAAATGACAGTGTCCGCTGAGACGACGCTGATCTTCTTGAACACGACGTACTCCTCTGCTGCAAGACTGAGCGAGCTGTCGCCTGGTAGCTCCACTAGACCCACAATGATGTAGTCTTCTGCTGTCGGTAGCGTGAACGTATTGGTCTTTAGAGCCTTAGCGCCGGCCGTAGCGAAAGCTCCACGGTGGAGACGGAGACGCGTGAGGAGACGGAGACGGAGGTGAGCGGTCTCGCGACGACGTCGACGTCGACGTCTGGTGGCCGCGCTATTCGGTCGACCGTGGAGGCCGGTGCAGCCCCGGGTGAGTCGGCTTAGACGGAGGTGTTCCAGTCGCAGGAGGCCGACGGCAGCATCGTGACGAAGACGGTGAAGACGACGACGCGTACTTCGACGAGTGCCAGCGGCGAGCTGGTGAGGACGGTCGAGGTGGAGACCACAACGGAGACGGAGACGACGTCTGGCGAGAAAACCACGACGGTGGAGACGGAGGTGAGCGGTCTCGCGACGACGTCGACGTCTGGTGGCCGCGCTATTCGGTCGACCGTGGAGGCCGGTGCGGCCCCGGGTGAGTCGGTTCAGACGGAGGTGTTCCAGTCGCAGGAGGTCGACGGCAGCATACGGTGAAGACGATGACGCTGTTGGGTTGGTATGCAAAGTAAAGCACACTTCCTGCATTTCATACGAGCTACCAGCTGCCGGGGTCCGCGCGCGTAAATCGCCGATAATAGTAAACGCCGATGCGGCACAGGGAGCCTATCGTTGTCAGCGGGGTCTTGTTTAACAGCTTTTGAGCGGCATTGGTGTGTAAAGGATGTAAAAATAGAGCGAGCAACATGAGCGGCTGCTCACACTGCTTCCATCGTTGCTCCACTTGCTTGATAAGGTTGCGCGTGCCAAACGGACGCACCGAAAATCCTTTGAATATATCCATGTAGCACACACCAACATCCGCGAGCGAGTTCTCGTCGCGCTGCAACTTCAAAGAGGCAAATGCAAGCGGACGCACCACCTCTTCAGCGTCTTTAAGCCGTTCCCAAAATGATCCTCTGCTAAAAACGCGTGCAGCATCAGGAAAATCATCGCCAGCTCGAAACTTAAACTCTAGTAGCTCAAGCGCACTTTGAACGCGCAACAACGATGCAAAACATCCATGCATGCTGTTCCAACGGGTTTCACATAATTGTTTCAGATTCAGGAAATATCCATAAGTATCCACCATGCACGTCCTTGCTTCGACTAACCACTTTGCGGAAGACGCATTCAGAGCATTGACCGCGTCTGATGCTTGCTTGGTGACCTCAGAAAAATCTGACTTCAGAACTGCCTTGACTAAATTGTTTAGATCATGAGCAAAACAGATCTGAAATGAGATATGCGGCCACCGTAGACTTAAAATTCGTCGTGCCCGCGCGCATTGTCCGGCATTATCGGTAACAACGCCACCAATTGTCCAACCATCACTCTGCATCTTTTCCATCACACCTTCCATTTGCTCCGCAATTGCGATAGCGTCATGCCTGGGTCCCGTAGGAAGCAAAGCGTATGTCATACCACACCCAAAAAGAACCAATTGGCAACCAAGCAAGTGAGCGCGAGAAATGTTCTGCCAAACATCACTTAAGAAATTCACGCGCGCGCCTTCATTAGCACATTGTACATTACGAAGTGCCGTGCTATCTTGGCTCTCGCAGTCGAAAGCGTACGCGTCTAGAATGGGTCCACCAAGCTTCTTGCGGGTTGGTAGTGGGAAGATGTCAGCGATCATCTTGCTTACGTGACGCAGAAAACGCACAGTAGATAGCGCTCAATAAAACTGTCAGGAAGCCGATTATCAGCTTGAAACTCAACTAGTAATCTCATGAAGATCTCTCCCTCCGCGTCATGCGATGGTCCTGAAAAAAACTGGTCGATACGCTTCTGTCTTTTCTCACTTCGTGTCGAGGACGCATCGTCGTGAACAGACGAACTGCTATTACGTTGAAAGGCTGTTGAGCTGGAAGAACGGCTAGCAGCTTCCACAGAGTTGCGTGTTTGAATATAGGCTTGATAGAATTTGAGATGGCTTCTATAGTTTTCCGGTCTCCCTCGAATTCTCTTCGGCTCAGGGACAGGAGGCTCGTGCGGTGTTGCGCGGTGACTACCCTCAGCTGGCTGCCGCGAAGCACGATACCCATTGTTGCAGTGGTTGCAAATGTGGTATGTCCGGTTGTTACCGGCGTCTTCATGCAAGTCTGTGAACTCGTCGCGCTCTTGGCACGATGGGTGGCCCATGCTTCGGTACGGTGAAGTGTTCGATGTGCGATAGCTAAATACACTTGTCGAGCGTGCGTATTTCAGAAATAGAGACTTGCTGTATGTGGTATCAGTATTACTTTGACTGTGGAGACCGGATCACTCCGTCCAGTGAATCACCACCAACCGCCAGGTGCACTGGTTTTACACTGGTGTTTTCTACACCAAAACCATGGTTTATCCAGGATTTTTGATAAAACCATTAAATCCAAAAACCAAAAACCAGCCAACACTGCTTGCAGGATGGCTTGGGATGGGCGCGGATGTGGTGGTCTAAAGGGCACTGGCCAAGGCGGTCGAGGGCGATCAATAACGGCGCCGCAGGACGTCGTTCAGGCACATTCCGAGTTGGTGGGGAAGGGGATGGATGCCGTCGAAGATGAAGCCGGTCCGAGTGCAGGCAAAAGTGTTGTTGGCTGAAAACTCCCAAGACTGACAAACACAGGAATACCCGGCTATTAGGAGCACAAAGACACTGAGACGACCCAAAGTTATGGTTCTTCTAATTAAACAGCGCTTGGTTTGCAAGGACATTATCGCCCGTTTGAACAGCCAAAAGTAACACAAACGTATTTAACGTAAGTGTTGATGCTGGGGTGGTTAAGTAGCCCACCAAAAATAGCTTTAAAGTAGTACAGGTTGGAGACACTTTAAATTCATATTGAATCTTCATGCTCACACCACAGAACATACCCCGCCGCGCTAGAGCCATGCCCAGCGCTTACATCACTTAAAGCCGGGCCTTAGCCTTGCTTAACTGCCACCGGAATCAGGCAGCAAAGTAGAGTACTACGCGCGGCGAATTTTCTGTGGTGACCCATGCGTGCCACTGCTTACAATGTTTCCACTCGATCGCGGCAATGAACCACCAACAACCGAGCCACGTACGTGTGATGTAGTGATATCTCCAGGGTTGCGGATAATCGTCTGTCAGCAAAGATGCGGCACCGCCGAAGATGTTCAAGCGACGAACCCTCGGTCATGTGATGTACGGAGACTCCAAGGTGCAAGAGCCTCGACGGTGTCACTACAGAACACTCAGCAGATATTGGATACGGTCTACATGTCTCTTAATCTAGGCTGTCCTTGTTAGTAATAATGGACTGGCCGGATTCGCATTCAGCGGACCATCTACGGTACGAACCCTCGGTGGCGGTTGGGATGAGTTCGCGGAAGACTCAGTGACCCTTAGAAGGCACGTACACTGTCTAGGACAAGGCGCGGACCGTTAAAGATACTCATGCGACGGTGCAGACGACGCTTGGCGTGCAAGAAGATCCATGACGGATCATTGTTCACTTGATATGTGTATACTTGATTCGGACTTCTTATTAGGAATAGGCCCGAAAGGGTAAGCTTAAATACAGAACAGAGTTTCCACTCAAGCACACATAGCGACGCCCGGCTTCAAGGTAAGCGTCTGGTCAAGCTTGTTTGAGTGTGTTATGCCTGACGGTGAACTCGAAGCTCTGTAGCGAGGGTTCATCCGGCAAGGCCAAGAGACAGTGTATTTTAGCCGATTACTATCGGGAGGTTTTACATGACGGCTTATTGTTTCCTATTTGCACAACTAGGAGTGCTTCGATTGCCTCCCTTTTATTCTTCCAACCAAGTGTTGAACACTCGGTGACCTCGTAAAAGGCTTACCCGTACCTGGTACCTTTCCGCTGTTGGGACCACGAGGATTCATAATACCTGCTAGCTTTGCTCGTGCTAGTAGCGTGTTCCTATTTTTACTGGTTGGCCTATATAAGTAGCTTACATGGTCTAGTTTGTCCCGGTGCAAGGGCAGAAGTGGGGTCTTCAGGTCCGCCCGAACGATCGTTTACTATCCTAGTCGACGTACTGCTGTGGAAAAGTCCAAACTACATTTGTAGCTAGAGTTCACGTGGTAATTCCAGCACCACAACTGGTGCCGCGACCCGGGAACAGATTGTGACCATTGTGAACTGTTCGTATGTCCTTCCAGTTGACGAGCTACCAAGAGAAGAAGAACAAGAAAAAGAAATCAAGAAATATGGCGAAAGGACAACCGACTGTACCTGCTACGCCTGTCAAGTCTGGCGGAGCTCACAACGAGGGTTCAAGTCCGACTGCACGCTTTGCAGCCGCCACTGAGCGTTCGTTAAGCTTTGACGACGAGGCGGACATCGGTCCTGACGCCCACGATTTTGACGATTGCGAAGATAAGACGCCAGCTCCAGAGCCAGGCGCAGCGACGCCGCAGACGGTCACGCTATCATCGGGGCTGAGCGGGGCGACCAGGTCCCTTTCGAGGAACCTCGCCGACGAGCTCGATGATGTTGCGGGACCGGAACCGGCATACGATGATTATGATGATGGGACCGAGGGCTTTAAACCTTCGGTGGCGAGCGCAAAGCATCCAGCACTGCTGAAGGCACCTCGCCCACCTATTAATGGTGATACACCAGCCGCCAAGCGCGTTTTCGACTGCGTACAAGCGCTAATGCAGAATGATGAGTGGATGCAGCTGCTCAAGCCCATCCCCAAAAGAAAGGCCGACTGGCCCGCGCTTGCGCAGGAACTTAAATACCCTGTTCACTCGGTGTCGACTAGCCAAGTTGCCAATGATTCAGTTTCGCTACTGTTGTCGCTGGGCTTCGAGAATGAAACGTACCCATCAACGATGTCGCTCCAAGATTGGTGTCCTCATGAAGCCGGAGCCGCTCTCCAGATATGGAAGAAGAAGCCTCGGAAGTCATTTGGCGCTGTTGGCTACCACGCTGGAAAGCAGCCTGTGAGTCGGCCGACCGTTCATGATAATATCCGTCCACGATTCCGCTGCCGCAGACACCCGTACTCCTCCGACCAAGTGTGGAGCTGAGCGTGGTGTCTTTGGCACTATCGAAGGTTTAACCGTACTTTCATGACTCGCACATGGTTACGCCATGTTCCGAGAACCGTACGCAACGCGTGTACGCTGGTAACAAGGGTTCGTTCGGTCGCCGGGGTGGTGCACGAGCTTCCAAACGTGGTGCCGGACGTCGTCAGGTTGACAGCGATGTTTCGTCAAGTGACGATGACATTTTGGTGCGTACGTTCGACGAGGAATATCATCACGTCGAGTTGATGCGTCAGATTAACGAGCTGGCAACGCCGAACGACGTGGAACCGACACCGAGGAATCGCATCAAGCCGTTCTCAGGCTCAACAAGAGCGAGAACTGTATGCAGTGGCTCCGTGGGTCGTGTATTGGATGACTAGAACGCACACAGATGCCGACAAATGGTGCATTCCGTTTAAGCTAAGTCTCCGGGACGGAGCCATTCGTTGGTTCCGTCAACTTCCGAAGAAGTCGAAGCACAAGTGGAAGTGGAAGCTGTTGAGCGATGCACATCCGCTACTACTGCTCGCAGTAAACACAGATGGCATTGTCCCGTTTCTACTCTGCAAAGCGGGAACGTAACGAACATCTGTGTGACCACATAAACAGGCTGAATGGCTACGCTCGGACCGTCCGTCTACATTTCAAGAAAAGTGGTCGCGACGCGAAAGTACACGAACAGCAGTTCCTTGCAACATGCGATGATGACAAGTTGGCGGAGAGTCTTTACCACGCGCGAGTTGCCGACATCCACGAGCTCGAAGAGATCATCGAAGATGTTTTCAAGGACAAGGAGAGAATAGCCAAGCGCGACAGTGAGTATCGATACTCCAAGAATCGTGACGCGCGACGCGACGATGCGTACGCCCGCAACAACCGACGTGATGACCATCGCCGCGATGACAACCGCAATAAATCAAGAGTGACGCTCATTGAAGTCACTGTGGATGACCTACTAGCTGAATTGGAGGGTAGAGAAGCTGCTCAGGGGGCACCAAGTATTCAAATGAAGATCCAAACACTAACAACGATATCCAAGACGAGTATAACGACTTTCAGCCTGAAAATACGGATGATGATTTCTCATAGGATGAAAGTGACCGATACCTCACCGCGGCTACCGAAATGAGCGCCGTGCAGCCGCTGAAGGTACCTACGCACGCTCAGACAATCTTCAGACGCGTCGGAACACGCTTGATCGCGAGAATGGCTTCAAACAAGATTTCCGAGGTAATGACCGTGGGTTTAATCAGGACCAACGCAGTCGGCGCGACTTCAACCGCGACAACAGACGCCCACAGCACGGACCATGCGCGGTGTGTAGTGGTCTGAGTCACTCCGCCCACTGCTACAACAAGCGATGCAAGCTCTGCAATCAACTCCACGATGCCGGACAGTGCGAACGTTTCCGCAACTTCAAAGACCTTGTCAAATTCGTGCGCACCAAAGGCACGAAGGAGGAACTCCCGCCAGAGCTTAAGGCCGCCGTTCAAGAACGTCATTTAAACTAGGCAGCCCGCCAACTACAACTGGGTTGGAGACTTTCGGGCTAACACAGTCAGTCGAGCCTTCAATGGAAGCAGAGTGTATCTTTGCTTTCATGGGGCAGAGTGAATGGCCTTAAGATTACGTAACAAGTGTGAACGCGGCGGAAAATGAAAAGGAGAGGAATAGAATCATCGGTGGAGGTGTTAGAGAGAGAGTGGAGTGTGCTGATGCGGATGAAGGCATCAGCGAGGATTCGTTCGGCGTGCTTTCGAGTGCAACGCGAGATGAGCCCAAGGGTCACTCCAAGATGATGAAGTTGAACCCTGGCGAGAGACAGGGGGGGGGTCGGCCAAGAAATTCGACCGAAGGATAAGAATGAGAGCTCTGGTGCAAGGCGCTGGGAAACAACAAGCACACGAGGATCCTCCTCGACACAGGAGTGAACGTGAGCGTGATCACTGACGCCTTTGCCAAGAAGTTGCGGCTCCGAGACGTACCAGATCACGGACGCCGTATTGACATTCAAGGAATCAGCGAAGGCAAGGTGTCTACGACACGACGAGCGTGCGTCAAACTTACGCTCGGATGTGAGATGGTGTACGAATTCGAGATGTGGGTCATGGCGCATAGCGCAGGCATCAACGTGGTACTCGGGACCTCCTTTATGATCCCAGCTGGGATCCGGTTGGACCTGTTTCACGGCGCGGCGCAATTACCGCACGAAGTTCAAATCCTACTGATCAAGACCAAGAACATGATCGACAGCGAAGAGTACGGCTTCCATATTAACGCCGGGCTGTCCGAGCGTTTGGACATTCAAGCGCACGAGTGGCGAGAATATCGACTAGCGAAGCGTCAAGTCGGGCTGGAAGAACACGTACTGTGGGTTTGTCGAACGGACAAGCTAATCCCGTTAGTGGCGAGGTTTCGACGGGGACGGTCTCAGAGTATTCGGTTGACCAATGTGTCTGAGCAAACTGTGTACCTAGCAGCACATGGCTTGATCGCGATGTTGATTCCAGATGTGGATTTGCCGCGATGCGACGGCTATGTGCGACAGGACTCCAAGAAGTACCAAGATTGGCAAGTGCTGGCCTATGAAGGTTGCAAAGACCGCGAGCTCTTTCAGCATGAGTGCGAGATCTATGAGCAACGGCTTGCAACTCAGCCTTCGGAAGTCGAGCGATCAGACTACCCAGAACCCCGTGGAGTGCTAGTAAGGCCTCTTGAAGACTAAGGACTCTGGAGATCGTCTGACATGTGTAGAGCGCTGGGCGATGATCATAGAGGAACGTGAACGAGTGGAGGCCCGTCTGGCGTCTAGGGTGACGGCCGGAGACTCGGCGGATGTCCAATTTTCCGAAAAGCCTTTGGACACTTGTACGCCAGATCACGGCGGAGGCAATAATGCAAACGAATCCTCGCTAGCGCGTACACACGAACTACTGAGCTCAGTAAACGTTGTGTATACGCCAACGAGTTTTCGTTTCGAGTCTGGGGTGACAATGAAAGCGACAGGTAACAGCACTGGATCAGATGGAGTCACTAGTCTCGACGATGTTGTCCCGGCCTTGTGCGCAGCCAAATTTGCGAACAAATCATAAGTGATTGGTCCAGAGGATATAGTCGTCGCACTGAAGGTAGTGACTACGGCACCGAGTGTTCGAAGCGGGATTGGAGCGAATGCCGGACTGTCAAGACAACAGTCATCCGAGGCGCTGAACAAAAGTCAACAGCCCAATATATCGGCTGCCTGCGCATACAATATTGCGAACAAAGACTCGCCAGGTGGCTTAGCGATGGGAAACCAGACGGAGAAGGGGATGGACCCAGTACCGAGTGTTCAAATCAAAGACGATGCCGACGTTGAGGCGAGGAAAGAGTCCGTCGCGACTTTGGACGAGACGTACAAGTCAGTTGCTCGCGAGCTAACAACCGAAGGAAATGAAGCAACGGGGGACACAAGAAGTGATTTTGGCGAGCACCCAGGCCTTACCGAAGAAATCAACACGACAATAGACTACAATGCGCCCAATGTTGCTGATCGTCAGCTGTCGCCCGATCGCCGAGAACGTCTGGTAGCAACGCTGAAGAACCAAGAGCACATCCTGATTGCTAGTGGTAACGCACTGCCTCCGCCAGCCTACAGCGCGGTATGCGAAATCGACACGCAGGGGCATGCCCCAATACAACAGCGTGCCCGACGCGTGCCCCTACGATTTCTCGGCAAACTGTACGAGCTGCTTCGTGCTCTGCTGCGAGCAGGACTGATCGTCTTTTCAGACAGTCCATGGGCATCGCCGATTGTGATTGTGATGCAAAAGAACCATCTGTACATCCGGCTCTGCATTGATTACAATATGGTGATTACCATCATCGCAATCATGTAGTATGCAATGCCGCTAGTCAACGACCTGTTAACCGATCTCGAGTGTTACCTATGGTTCTGCTCGCTGGATGCTGCTAGCGGATTCTGGGCGGTCATGATGACCTTGCGAGCACGTAAAGTGTCGGCGTTTGTCTGCGCACTCGGGCACTTCGAGTTTTTGTTGCGCATGTCCTTCGGCTTAAAGCACGCACCGATGATCTACCTGCGCATGATTGACAACGCGCTGTGGGGGTTCGTTCAGCCAAAACAAGGTTCGTTTGAATATTCGGAGAGGATGCGTTTAGCTGAAGAAAAGGTCAAGGAATGTCGTGGGCCAAGCACCGAGGGTTCGTTTCAAACGGAGTTCGCGGCATACCGCGAAACACCGGTGGAGGCCGACCCTGTACTACAGCTCGTCAACATCTTGTCGCTGTTATGTTTACGAACGGGGAACCAGACGAATCATCGCTGGTACCTGTGTTTGGTCGACGATCGTTTGTGGATGATATTTGCTTCGGTGGCGAGGATTTCGATAGCTGCCTGGCGACGCTGGACCGATTGCTGGCTAGATTTGCACAGTCATTAGTTTCACCAAGAGCATCTTCTGCCAGCCCAAGGTGGACTCTGTCGCATAAAATTTCGCCAGAAGGTATCAAAGCTGATCCGAAGAAGCTTGCAGCCATCACCGAGCTTTCGTTTCCAACGAGCAAGCGGGGCATGCAGCCGCTCCTTGAAGCGGTTAATTACTACAGCCGCTTTACCAAGACGTTGCTGTCTACGGTGCGGCGCTGTACCAGATTGAAGATGAAGACTTTATCGCTGAAAGTGGCATGTCGTTCATTCGAGAAATTGAAGGCGAGTGTTTCACATTTACCCATCCTAAGGCACTTCGATCGGTCGAAGATAAGCTGTATTTAAAATCACGTTATTATTCTAGCAATCGCTCCCACGAGAAACCTGAATCATTACTGGTGTGCAGCGTAGCTGACACCTTGGGTGACCCATTTGACGTGTGTCGCACAAAGCTGTTGACAATTGAGCGGGGAGATGCTGGTCGCCAGGCTCTTGACGCTGGTGGCGATCGGGGCGATCGTGTGGTGACTGATGTTGACAATCTTGACGTGGACGACTCACACGCGCTACATGTTTAGCTTGTCGTAATAGAGACTATGGAAATATTATCACTGGATGGGATTGCGAGTGCCGTACCAAGTGCTTTCAAGCGTTGACAGCAGTGGCACAATGTAGCCTACCCTCATCGTCGACGGCTCCTACCATTCGCGAGGCATCACCGGCTTCGTATCTTGTTTGGGTCGCTTATGGCGCCCAAGCCCAAGCTCCTGCGTAACGAGGTTGTGTGGAGGTGGACGGAGGCTCCAAACATTGCGTTCGAGCGCAATCACCTATTGACTCAAAAATCGGCGTTGGCTTATTTTGACTTCCAGTTGCCGTTCCGACTCGTCACTGATGCCAGTAGGGTCAGGCTAGGAGCGTGTTTCTGCAGAATCAGGGTATCGTTCGGCAACTTATAGCTTACGCGAGTAAAGGGAACAGCCCAACTCCATCGCGCTACGGGATTACAAAACTGGAGTGGTTAGCGGTTGTGAGGTTGATTAGGCGGTCGGCTATTCTACCTAAGTGGAGGTCCTTCCGTCCGCGGGTAGGGTAGTCCGATCTACTATTTTAACCGCTAACCGGTACTAAAATGGCTCTTGGCTAGCTCTAATTCGTAGCGTACATGACCACCGGGAGCAATGTACTGGTGGATGCATTATCGAGAGCCCGATTGAGAGTGTTAACGACAGCAGGGTAACGACGACCACGAAGACACATTGACGTTATTAGGACTGGTGATGAGGTGGCGCGGCCTGAGCGAGGAGACGAAGAAGCAGCTCGGCCAAGGACGACAGGGCGTCCGTGTTGAGTACTATGTATAGTACCAGCATGTATGGGGAGTCGTAGATGCGACAATTGATATGGCAACGACGAAAGGTGATACGCCAAGCCCGATCTGGATGAAAAGAAATAGATTGCAACAAGCGGCTGGTTGGGGAACCAACCGACACGACGGACGGCAGGTCACCACAGCAAGAATCAAAAAGCGTATGGGATGCGGTGGCGAGAGCGGCACAGCTGCACTTCGCTCAAGAACAACAACGAGGAACCAGTTGTGTAGCCCTTGATGCGAGCATCCAAGCGACGAGCGGAGGCGGCTCAGACAACATAAGTGGAATCGATGAGACGGCGAATAGGACGTGGGAGACGCTAGTGTCAAATGAAACGCCACCAGCTCCTCTTGTGAATAGTGTTGGCTTGGTTCGCAATTAAAATGGATTTTTGTCGACAAAATTAATATAAAATAGAATTTATTTGCAAACAAAACACACGGAATCACTCCGAACGTCGACATCACACAGTGGAATCCGCACTTCATCTGGGCGGTGATGTCGTGGGGACCACCTCCAAGCGGCGTCGGCTTTACAAGCCAAGCGCATGAAAGAAGGTATTCAAGAAAAATCGTGAAGAAGCATCGTGCATCCTCAATTCCTGTCTCCGCGCCCAGCACCTTCCGGTCTCGGGTTTGTGCGACGGTTTAGTAGTCGCCTGTCCATCGTCGACCCCTATCCAGCGGCTGCCAACGAGGTGTCGCCGGACTTGCATATGCGACGTCGACACAAACGGAATTGTCGGCCGACGATTCATCCGATGAATAGCTGGAGCTGAATCGTCGCCGAATGCGTACGCGCTTGTTTGGATTTGTGGTGGGTGCACGGCTTTCGCCATGTTGGCGTCGAGAGGGGTGATGGCATCGGACGGCACCTCGAGTTTCTGAAGTTGGCGAAGGGCATCGGTGGCGGACTTCTCGAGCTTCAGAAGTAAGAGATCGATGTCACCTGTTACGATTCCTGTAAGAACAAATCATCTTCAATGGTCAGGACATGTCAAGCTCAGCGAGGAAAGCACAAGGGAGCGCATGACGAAACTTCGGAGGCCAGCACCAGAGTGTCGGCATCCAGTGCTGGAATGGTGACTTGCTGACGGATTATTTTGCTCGCGCGAGCATCAGATGCCCGACCCGGTCGTGTTGCAAGCAACCTTTTTCACAGTGCTTGGCCGGCTGAAGAACCCTAATGAGCCAGGTCCGACAGTAGGCGATGAAGCTTGTGCAACTGGGAAGTGTTGGCTGCTTTTTCGATCTTGAAAAACCCGCGCTCGCGCGCGATCTGTTTTCGAAGCATTGCATTTTCGTCTTTGAAAGGGTAGATGAACTTTTAAAGTCTCACCGTGAGTTCAATGTTGGCGTTGATCATCGCTTGCGCGTCTACTAACTTCCGGAGGGTCGCAGGGTCACAATCCTGCGCTCCCTTGAGCTCCTACTTCAACTTGTCGAGCTCAGGGGTGCCCTGATGAGCGAACAACTCGAGATTAATTTCTCCCCAGTGAATAACTTGTTTTCCAAGGACTGACGAGCGAACTCAATCTTGTCATCCGAAAATCTTCCGAGTCCAGCCGTGACGAATGAACAGTCCCACTGAATGATTGCACGGATTGGATATCATGTTGTACGGATGAATGTGAATCGTCGTCAGACAACAGTAACACCACGGCTCAGCAGCATCCAGAGCGGTGACCTCTGAGCTGAGCGATGTATTTCAAAGCATCGCCCGGATCAAGGTTTGCACCGCACGCTGAGATACCCCGTTGTGGCCCTCCCACAAAACGATAGCCAGCACGAGCGTCCTCGTAAGTCCGCGAAAGCTCTGCCAAGGGAAAAAATACCGTAGGACGATTGGGGTACGGCAGGAGATGAGTGTGTCGACAGATACTATTGCGATACCGAAGAGGGCGAAGTTTGTTTCAGCAACTGTCGAAGATACGCAAAAAAAAGAAAGTGAAGAGGGCTCGCTGAATCGGCCGAGCGTGATGATCTCCTCGACGTTGCAAAAGGGCGACAGCGTCGCCCCCCCCCCGATTGAAGTAGGTACGCGGGCGCTGGTGATTATCATCCAGCATCTCTGGACCGCGCTTGTAAAATCTAAGATCGATGATTGGCGTCAACGACGCCGAAAGTTTACGACGCCGCACGACCGGCTGAATACCGTAGTCGCCACTGGGAAGGCGGACGACGGATCTGTCTGGCGAGGATCGAATTCAGGCAAGAGCGCAGCCACAATAGCTACCCCAGGACTGGACCGCGTTTGGCCCGCCGACGACGCTTCGCTGTCATCGCGAGGATGTTCCGCAGGCGCCGCGGGAGCAGGTACAGACGACGCTACACCTGAAGGGGAAAGAAGCGAAGCCACCGGGGTAAAGAGCGTGAAATAGGTGGCGGTGTATCGACGACGAATATGAAGACCCCCCCCCCTCATACTCATCGACAAATGGAGCCGACAGGGACGCCGGTTCTTCTTCACCCGATGATATCTCAGTAACCTCGGAATAGATCCCAAGAACATCGCTGTCAGACGCCAATTCTTGGTCAGCCACCAACGCCGACTTGAACATCGACCGGTACGACGATTGCCGACGCGGTGTCGGCTGACCTCCAGACCCAGAACTAGAACCAAATGGCGAGTCTGTTGCTTACTTCGCTGTGCTGTCACAGGTGCCCGAAACGACGCCTGAGCCTTAAGTGACGGCAACTTGTTGCCGAACATTGCCGAAGGTTACCGACGTGACCCCGATCGACCATTCACACCCGCCGTACCGCTATAGCCCTGCGCAAGATTACGGGAGGAAGCAAAGTGTCGTCAGAAGTATGATGCAACGCAGCGGACGGAGTTATGAGGCCTGGAATCACCGGCGACAAACGGGGAATCGAGTTTGGAGTGGTCTGAGCTGCAAGTGACGGGGGAAGGCTTCTGACGTCATACAACGTGTCGAAAGCCGTCGACGGTTCAGCAGCAACGGGTAAGTACACTTCGTCCACGGCTCGAGCGCTGCCGACTCGATCAATGAATCGCTGGTCATCATAGGGGGGCCGTCGAGCCATCGCCAGCACCAGCATCAGCTCTTTGGTCACTGTGGCGAGCTGTGACAAAGACACATCCAACCTTTGGCACGATACGGCTCCGGCGATCTCGTCAACGATATTGCGCAGCGTGTCCTCGCTTATGCCGGGGATGGCCGTCCGAGGAGTGAAGTCGTGGCTGATGACAGCCGACGATGCCTGGTGAGTCGTCGGTGAAGGAGCAGGCAACCCAGCGGCATCGCCAGTAGCATCGGAGCGAAAAGCAAGGGAGCCGAGACGCCATCTAGACTAGGTGGGTCGCTGCCAGAACGCTGCGAGCTGAGAAGGTGAGCAGGGAAACGAGCGAGAAGTGAATCGATGACAGCAAATGTACCGGCGACGACAAATACCCGGTGAGGTTGAGAGCTCGGGCAGTAGTGCGGTGTACAAAGCCGCTCATGGGGTCAAGTCGCGAAACTCCAAGACGCTCACTAAGCTCCGTTGTTTGAGACTTGCCGTGGGCAGTTGTGATATTGACAATTGTCTGGCGACAAGGGTTGATTCACAAAATATCGCCAAAGTGTTTCAAGGAGGGCTAGTGGCGTTTTCGGTCTATGGGCTAGGCCTGTCCATGTTGGCCTCCAACACACAACCTAACCAAACGCTGAGGGATCAGTTAAGTTGGTTTCCAACTCAGCCGAACTCACGATAAAACCCTCTTCAAACAGATAACAATGTTAATGTTCGCTCACATGCTCGTCGAGTCTCCATGCCATCAAAAGCTTCACTGCTGGCGAGTCGCCGCCGCGTACAACCGTGTCAAAGGGGGCGCTCTCGGACATAATACAATCCAAATCTCGCTGCGCTTCGCGGATTCAGCGTTGCCGCCACTGCTCGTTCAAGCTCGCATGAACACTGATGCTGAAACTGACCAGGATATAAAACACATTCTTGTACGGAGTGACGACCGTTGGAGCGATGGCAATCGTCATCTTCTTCAGCTGCTACCAGCTGAAGTTCAGCGCAGCCTTGATGCACTTCACTGCGCAGAATCCAGGTCCGTCTTCTCTATTGATATTAGAATTACCAGCACCACGATCAAGAACAACACTCCACCGCCTCGAAACGTGGCGAGCATCACTGAAAACTGTAGAGGTGAATGGAGGAAGTTCAATTCGTGTCACAGACCTATAGAATTGCTCGAGATGAAATAGTGCTGGTTTGGGGTGCTTTCCGAAGGGTTGATGTGAGCTGTGTGGTAGTTTGAGTGGTCGATCTGTCTGAGGAGCCTCCTATCAGGGAGAATTGATCAAGTTACTGTGCGGCACGATCACAATTTGTGATTCACAAGTATCAACATAAGCCGGAGGTCAGCTTACCCGCGTAAATCGGTAGGTTGTAAAATGCAGGTGTTCCAATGGTTTAAATAAGTATTCGAAGCTACCTTCAGACGAATTTGACTTACTTCCTTTGGGGATACTCGTATCGTTTTCCGCCGGTTTCCACCCGGGGTATACAAAATTGTCGTGAATGAAGCGAAGATCGCGCACCAACGATGGATCGAGAGAGCTGCGCTTGGCTGTTACCGTATTTCCGGCTGAAGAAAAAAACACGCTAGCCATTTTCGGGCAATTGGAGTCAAGTTAGGAAATTCGGAACCACGTTTTTTCCACCACTCCAAAGAATCGACATCAAATGTAACATCCTCCACCTCGTCCAAATAGCGGTACAGTTCGGCTGTACAATGTGTTCGAATACGTCTCTCTCGAGCCGAATTTGTCGACATAATCGCGCTGTACTCGCTTTCCAAACACACCTTCCATGGCAATGGTGCGTTGCTTCTTAGAAAAGGCTGAAGTTTCTTCACATGGGATACTCTCGTCTTGATCACTCATTTGCTGCGCTAGCTGTAAATGACCCAGCATTGCCAAGTCGATGGTGGCGTCAATCAGACCATTTGTAGCTTTGACCGCTTCTTCCAGGCTAAGACCCTCCATGTTGGTCAGTCTCGGGTCCAGATAAGAAATCCGTAGGATCTCCGCAGAATTTTTTTCGAAGCGCTTTCGAAAGAGGCCCGAAAAAGCTAGCCGTACGTTTATCATGAGATCAAGCACAGCGTTCTTGTACGAAGCGTTCCGAGCGCGCGAAGCCTCCTCATCGAACCAATCGCCTCGTTCAAGTGTCCTTTGAATCTGCCGAAGACACGGATATGCTAGAGCAAGTGTAGGGTAGCCTTGGTCACCAAGAAGCTCTGACGTTGCTGCGATGGGATCCAATATTGCTAGCAAACACTTGATTGCGAACCAGCCTTTGCCACCAGGCTCGAAGAGACTTGGTGCCCGATCAAATTCCTTTTTCCCCACGGTAGAACGAAGGTAGCGAAAAAGAACCTTTCAATGGTTTCTTCAGCTCCACCATTCGAGCCAACATGTTCCTTGCGCTGCTCCACAGGGTAGGACAGTCGGTCACTACCCTTAAAGGCTGTCGTTATAGTGGGAACGGCTCATCAACTGCATACTGCTCTCGTTGAATCTTGTCGAGCCGATTTGTCGCCTTTTGAGAGGCGTGAAAGTACACTGCAAGACTCTAAAAGCGCTGGACGAGATCACGCACTTCATCAAGTGTAAATAATTGCTCCAGATGTTGCCACTCGCTTAGAAATTCGGCCAGCTCACCAATTGCTCGTTCTTGTTCCCACGGTTCCGCTTCATTCTCCCCCCGTACTGTACTGGCATCGGTGGGCGCCAACGTAGAACCAATTGCCACCGTAGTTGGCTCGCGTAGTGGCGATAATACCGTAGTTCCCGAACAGACTGCAGCCTCGCCACCCTTCGCCTTTCGCCGAGCTTTACGATTGATGCGTGCACCCGCGACGATAAGATGAAGCGAATGAGCTATGCAAGACATATGCGGAACGCCGAACTACTCGCACGCGAGAACCGGTTTGGAAGCTCCGTCGCGGATAAGGTTTATACAGTAATTTGGGTCTAGGCTCCATTGCTTGAAAAATTGGGTCAGACTCTCTGCAATGGCCTCACCACTGTGACGACCAGGAAAATGAGCAACTTCTACAGTCCAGTTGCAAGGACGAAACTTTAAATTCAAGTAATGAAGCGTTAGAGCAGCATAACTCTGCATAGTTAGACTTGTCCAGATATCTGATCTGTAGTCACGGCATAGTATTGACCGTTCTCCTTCATCATTGCCTTGAGCTCTGTCTGGCGTTATATGGCAATGTCGACGATATCCATTCGAACACGTGTCCTCCCGGGGATTTTCAACGAGATTGCACCAAGATTTTCAGTAACGAAATGAATAAAGAATTTAAATCCATCGTCCTCCACTTCAACCAGCGGCCGCATGCTCGTAGCAAGCCAAAGAACTAAGTATTGATTAGCTCGACTTTGCTGCTCTGGTGTCACTGGAACAACCTCCCGCTTCTCACCAGGATCCCCTTTGATGAGACCCATCGCTAATGTCATCTTCGCTCGTTTCACTATAGTAATGCGGTTTCACACGTTTTAAGATACTTTTGATGATACTTCTGTAGATGCTCTTTCACACGGCTTCTGCCAATACGGAAATCAACAAGCGAGCTGCATATTGTGCAGTACGCCGCCTCAGCGTGCGCGCTGACCAGTTCCGCCTTGTCCAGCCCTTCAAAGTCACTATGCGCCACGAATCGGACGAACTTGTACCAGTGAGGATTGTGAGCGCCCTTAATTTCGAACAGGACAGGTGGTCTCGGGCACTGATCTAGAGGAGGCTCAGCGTGGTCGTCGCTATCTAGAGCATGGTCATCGGGGTTGGAGTGCTGAGCTAGACCTTCGGCGACTTGTTGAAAACCTTCCTCTTGAACACCCGGCCTCGGAAGAGTAGAAGCAGTAGGTGGTGGAGACATCATGAAGCGGAGCATGACCCGAGGCCTAGACGTCGCTACAATGCTGTTTCTTTTTTCTTTTTGTTGCTTGAGCTCTTGCTGATGAAAAAAAGACGGCGATTCACATCGGTAGGTGACGATGGTTTGTCGGATGTCGCCATGGTGTCTAACACGTCGGGGTCCAAGTTTCAGGGCGATGACCGAGCTCACTTTGCCAAGTGAGCTGACGCTCACACTCGCTGGCTCCGTGGCCGTCGGCCGCCGACCAAGCGAAGGTGAAGAGGTCCATAAGCACATGGACCTCGTCGACGTAGACTAAATTAAATGTGTAACTGACGGATTTGTTTAGAAGAATGCAAGGATACTTGCCCCAAAAAACTGGATCAAATCCACCGAACGGTCTTAGACCTTGCACCCACAACTATATGGAATAAAGTAAAGGAAAAATATGGACAAGTTGAGCATGAGTTGGCAGAAACTCAACTTTATCTCAGATAGCTCGCGTTGGAGTGACTTGGACGGGCCTCGGAGGCTTAACGTTGACAGGCCTAGTATGGGCGTCGACCGTGACGGTTCAAGCGACGATGCAGCGTCATGGTGGTGTGGGCCACCCCAGGCCGAAGCATCAACTGGTCGAAGCAATTCGAATGGGATCGGTGAGGTCTGGACTGATTATACCAAATTTTGTAGATAGAAGAAACGGATACAAAGGCCTACAAGAGAGTATGGGCCAAGTGCCCCTAACAGCAACAGAGCAGAATTTTCCCCGAACCACACAAGTGCTAAGCGTCGACGTAAGTACCTTAACCTTAGTGATCCGGCAGGGTATGCCTACCAGCGAGCAGCAACCTTCTGAAGGTAGCGCTCGTTTCCAGTCAGGCCAAGAGATTGGTTGAGGATTTGTGTTTTCGTTTGTTCGTTATTTGATAGCAGCTCGGGTATTGGATTCCCGATATAAGAAGTCTCCGTATTGATCATTTACCGTAAAAACCTTACAGCCTGCGTTATTCTCCGGCACACCCGAAACGAGTCAGGGAGACTACTACAACTTCCGTTGTTGGTGCCAGGGGGTATTGGAGGGAGAGAGAGGATAGACGTACAGGCAAAGTTCGTGCTTGTTACTTTTGTGTGTTAAGCCTACTAGCGTAGACCATAAGATATGGGAGTGCCGGCTCAAGATGGTGAGGCGGACTTGGTTCCTTCAGGTACGCCCCAACGTTTGCCACCCCTCGTGGACGGTGAATTATTGTGTGCGAAGACTTGCAACATATTTTGTGAATCCTTATCGCACGTATGTCAATGCCCCGCCTATCGGCTGACCTACAGCTATTCCTGTGTGCAGTAAA